TCCCACAAGTCCAGGAGGGTCTCCAGCTCCCTGGGGGTCCAGGATGGGGCCCTGCGTTTGCGGCCCCTGGGGGCTTCCTCCCCTGCCCCGGGTGGCTGGGCAGCACAGTTGGCACGTGGCAGAGCTGGGAAGGGTGGTCTCCTGCAGGCTCCTGCCACGTGCGGCCAGTAGCGTCCACGCTCTTTAAGACCTCGGGTTACCCGGAAGTCCGCTGCTTCTACGGGGTCTCCCGCTGTCCAAACCGCTTTTTTCCGTTTCTTCTGCTTTTCCGGAAAAGCTGTCTACACTGGCCCTTTTCCGGAAAAGCTTTTCCGGAAAAAGGACTTTTGCCCGAGCGGGAGCAGCGTAGCATTTCTGGAAAAGCGGCTGATTTTGTACAGTACAGCGTCATTGCTTTTCCGGAAATTCAAGTGGCCAGTTTAGACAGCTCGCAGCTTATTCCGGAAAAGCGGCTGCTTTTCCGGAATAAGTGGCCCAGTGTAGACACACCCGCTATGTAAGAGTGCATTTGTGGACTCTCTGTGAGGAGCAGCTACCCATCACTGCCTTTTAAAATTTGTAGAGAAGTGGATGGAATTACCTGAGGGCAATCCACTGATGCCTGCTAAGTGGTACAAGGAGAATACACTTGTGACCAACTGTATTGAAGGAAGCAGATTTTATAAGGAGATCATTCACTAGTGTGACTGTTGTACTGTCTTTGCATTGGCTAGCTCCGAAACCTGATATCTAGCATATTGGCAGAAGTTGAATTCTGCTACAGATTGCTGGAGATGATCTACTACTATCAACGTCCTCCTTCAGGAAAGGAACATCTGAGACTAGATCATAACTAGCAAGATTTTTAGGTCCTTCCATTTTTTTTTTTTAATATTAGCCATGATTCTAAGCCACTGGTAATTTCCCTTCCTTAGACATGATCTCAGGTGTTCATTTATCATTAACAGGGTCTGTTCTGTCACTCTGCTGCTCCTGCCACCTTTATAGATTTTATTAATCTTTCCAGAAAAGTATTATGGCAGCTCCTCACAGATTAGGCAAAGATGGTCTGGGCTCGTTTGTAGTTCTGCTTTCAAGAACAGTTATATTGGTTAGAGTGTCTAATTAATCCCTTAGTAGACTGGTCGGCTGTGTCTACACTGGCATGAATTTCCAGAATTGCTTAAAACAGAATACTATTCCGTTTTCAGTTTTTCCGGAAAAGTAGCATCTACATTGGCAGGCTGCTTTTCCGGAAAAGCCCTTTTTCCGGAAAAGCGTCTGTGGCCAATGTAGATGAGCTTTTTCGGAAAAGAGCCCCGATCGCCATTTTCGCGATCGGGGCTTTTTTTCCAGAAAAGACTACTGGGCTGTCTACACTGGCCCTTTTCCGGAACAGTGTTCCGGAATAAGGACTTATGCCCGAGCGGGAGCAGAATAGTTTTTCCGGAATAGCGGCTGATTTTGTACAGTAGAGCGTCGGTGCTTTTCCGGAAACTCAAGGGCCAGTGTAGACAGCTCGCAGCTTATTCCGGAAAAGCGGCTGATTTTCCGGAATAAGTGGCCCAGTGTAGACACAGCCGTCGTGCTTTTGACTGGTGTCCTGTATTGCAGCAGGATATAAGAATGGGATCAAACACTACTGGAGAATCCTATTTGTCTTAATGGATGTTAGATTCTGGACCACTGTGCCCCATAAGTTGAAGTCTCACAAGATAAATTTTGATGTCTTTGTTTGAGATCAGATTTGAAAGAAAACTTGCAGGGCTTGAGTAGTCTGTATACAGCTAGAATGTCTATATTGGTCCTGTTTCTAGCGTTCTATGTCGTCCAGGTGCATCTGAATGACTTGGGGTCTGGGTTAATATCTCATTTCCATGTGGGTTTGGTTGGGTTACCTGACAGTCACTTTGCCTCCCTACGGAACTGGGGCTCATAGGGTGGAATCCTGACCCCACTGATGTCAATGGCAAAGCTCCCATTGACCTCACTGGGCTGAGGATTTCACCTATTGTATGTTGTATGTCCTGCTGGAACAAGTTGTACCAGAATGAGTCTGACAGTGTCTTCAACCCAAATTTCAGTGATGTAGGCCAGGTCAGTTGCCTCAGCCACAATCGAGTAACATGTAATGCAGACTTAATTTTTAACCAGTCGCGTGTTCATGAGCCTGAGGTTATGGTGTATCAGCCTCAGGTCAGATGCCTGGAAGGGTCCTATTGACTCCTTAAGTTCAGTCCCCTGCTGGTGCAGGCTACTCTATCATATAATCAAGTCCTTGTTACCATGGCCTGCAAGCTGATACCTGGTTTATATGTATGGATATACATTTAAATGTCTGTTCCTACAGTCCATCCTGAGGATGTATATTTTTGTCTTGGGTTACCTCAGTCCGGTTAGGACTGGGGTTGGAGGTATATGTGAGAGGCATAAATTTGTTTGTTTTATTTGTCATTTTCTTTGGTGTGTCAGGGTCCCCAAGTTTTGTAACGTTGTCTCTCTTATATGCTGTTGGCATAGTCCTGATTTCTGAAAGGGCATATCTCGTATACCTGAATATTTGAGTAATACATTTCTGCTAGAGGAGGATAAGAATATGATATACATGGATTGCTCCATTCTTGAGCTGTAGGTATATGGAGATAACCTATTTCATTTGTGTCTGTGCTTAGCTTTTG